CAAACCTAATGCGTCTTCCCACCCCACTACAGACTAATGATGAACATACAGTAACAGGCATCAGAGTAGTGGCTGAATCTAACTATAGTCATTGTGAAACTGGTTTCATGACAATTCAAAACAGAGCATGTATGTGGCCTTTAATGAAACAGATAAACAAACATTAATCTTTAACCCAACAAAAACAAAGGAACTAGCAAATGCAAAAAAAACGCACTTTCCCAAATAATATTTCGCAATGTCTGTGCAATGTGTCAGTACCACTCATTAAGAGTGACAAAGTATCTTCTAGTCATCCAAATTATATGATAGCTGAGAATGTCATATAGGCTTCAGTGTTCAATGGTTATTATTTTTTCTCATTGACAGAGGCTGATCACTGTGGTTATATTCTGGGAGAATGTTTTATTTGCCCATTACAGCATTACAGCAGTTTTTGTTACTGGATTACTAAATACCAAATTTAATTTCAATTTAACAAAATCAGAAAACAAAATTCTTTCACTATCATAGATTGGTGCTGGAGAAGAAAACTTGGTTCAAAAGGAAGAGAAAGTGATGCACATTGCAGTGAACAAGTTTCTAACAGGTTCTAATGAACACTGTATGGCTCCACTTCATAATTTTGCCTATATTCAGAAAGCAGGTAGTGTGTTCCTAATGTGTACTTCTATTGTCTTCCAACGATTATGAAACCGAGATTATCTGTCCGGTCGCATTAAAAAAAAGTTTTTCATCACTAACGGCATGGAACTGTTGCATCTTGAGCTTTTTAAACTCGCTTGTCTTTTCTCCTAAATACAAGGTTTGTGCCACTGGTGGAACATTTTGCTTCTCGGGAATCTTGGTGTAGTACAAAATTTTCATTTAAATGCAGTCACACTGACACTGCTGCTACAAGAAGATAAGTTAATTTAAAAAAAATATCACTACTTGGTTGTGTGTTCAAATGTTATAAACATTACCTCTAATGTCGGGTACGATTTAAAGGCGAAAACAAAACTGTCACACTCTGCGGATGTTTTAACTGCGCTGGTAGTCACCAGGAAGGTTTCCAACGGGTACAGCAGCACAATTCGGGGATTTAATGACAGTCCCAGCGCTCCTGCTAACTTTAAAACTGCTGCTGTACAAGTCTCTGCCCCTCCCTCCCGGCGTACAGCAAAAACACTTATTACCTGTGCACCTTCCCAAACATCAGCTGCGCAAAGTTAGACCTGCCGCCTCTCGGAAACGCTCTTGAAAATGTCAAACTCCGGTCCACCCACCCCCAGAAAACATTCGGTCCCTCCAATTGTTCAACCGACCCGGGCTACAAATCCACTTGCTTCAGACGCAGGACAGATTTCTGCCCGGTAGATTAAGTCTATGCAAACCACCAAACAAAAACACACCTTCCACAAAAGATCACTCACCTTCCCTGCAGAGTCTCATTGCTTCTCGATTTTTCCCGCACTCTTTCAAACTTTCCTCCGATTCCGCACCTAAAATAAGAGGCAAAGCGTGACACACCAGTCAGAGAAAATAGTTACACTTGCTGGGTTGCTGTTACTCCTAGCAGCGTTTCTTAATATTTCCCCCAAAAACTGCACGCAATCAAAAAAGAAAGCAAAAAAAAGAGCTCTTCGTTTTCTGTTTCCGAAAAGAAATCTGACAGATTTTTAGCTAGAACCGCTCACCGTCGTTCCCGTGAAGTTTAGCAGCATCGACCCAGCTGCTCCAGGGCTGTCCCAACATGATTTCTGGACTGGGCAGCGATCTGCGCTCCCCTACAGTCGCCATTGCTGTGGAGCCTTCTCCCTGCTGGAGCTGCTGCTGCTGCTGCTGCTGCCTGAGCTGCCTGGCCGCTTTGCGCTGCTCCCCCCTGACGTCATCATCGGCCCTTTCCGACATTCTTTCCGCTACAATGTAACAAAGCAGCAGTCAGCGTTTAAGGTGGTTAAGAGCAATTCTTCCACTTGGCGATGACGCCGTACACCACACGTTTCTCTCGTTCACTGACAGGTCCTGTAGTCATCAGGGTCTTTTTTTAGAGCGGGCAGGGAGGGGGGATACAGTAGGGCTCGCTTGCCTCCCCCTTTATTTCTCATAGCCAATACAGGTATAAATAAAACAATCTAACGGTGTTCGTTAGATCCGTATATATTTCTTAATGGTACAATCCTAGTTTAAGGAAAAAGATAAAACTTTTAAGGAGGAACCAAACTATTGAAAGGGTTTCGCCGACAAGAGCGCGGAATAACAGGGAATGCAGGTCATTTACGAGAACGGAGGGAACTTCCTATAAACTCAACCCATATTAAGCATATCAGCCACACCGTAGCGCGTTACTACTACGCTTGACACAACTCAGAAGGGTCATGAATGACGTTATCACACTGCCCCTACAAGTTTTCCAAAGTTCAATAAACGGATGACTTTTACTTCATTTTCCCGACGAAGCGCCCAAAAAGGATAAAAACAAAACTGTAAAATCAAATACATGTTATCACTTTTTCTGCTGATGGCGCCTCTGTAAATTTGAGATATTACACATTTTCATGACTACAGAACTAACTCCACCTTTTTTGAGAAACGCCAACAAAACATACACGTTGTTTCTCGATGTACGTGTTGCCATCGATATCAACAGTGGCAGTAACGTAGACTCGGTTTTCTGTGTGTGGGAGGTGCTATAGTGGCATGCTGCGGCTCCGCTTCCTTAAAGCCGACAGCTTTACAGCACGTCAGTTCAGATATCCCTCAGTTCCAGCTTTTGCGTCAGTACAGTGCCACAAGGATGAAAGTGCAACTGCACCATCAAGGAATAAATACTCCACATTTTTACACAGCGCAAGGGACGTGCTAAAGCGTTCTCTCTCTCTTCTGAAATTGCGCCTTTTGAAAATGCATAATTGTGCACTGAGAGATTTTCTTGAAGATATATAGACAACGCACAAAATTCCATATTTTGATGACTACTGTAAACATTTTATAAACCCTGTTGCAGCTTTTCTGAGTCAAGTCCAAGTGTTGAGTCTGCACAGCTGAACCCCTTCAGGCCTTTAGTAGTTTAATGCAATAGATAAGTAACAGATAGTAAAACACACCTATAAAACAAGAGCAACTTTATATTCCTGTAAATGTATCCAAAATATCGTTATTTAACTCTGTGAAATGTAGGTCATTTAAGTTCTTATTGGCGAAGTTCTTCACCTGCAGTATGCCATCTGAAACCTTTAATTTCTCAATTCTTGGTAAACATTTAATTACTGTGTGCTACTTTGGCATAAATGTGTTGTAATCAATAAAATATTTCATAATTTGGTGCTTTATAATACACATAAGCTCCCTCATGGGAGAACAAAATTGAGACATAGGAGACCTAAACTTTATCAACACAACATAAATTTGTTTTTCATTTAACTCATTTTTCACATTACGTAGAAAACATCTTTTGTCATAAAAAAACACACTGAACTATTGTAGATTGGTGGTAGTGGAGGGGAGTCCCCATTACCTGTAAAGCGCTTTGAGTGGAGTGTCCAGAAAAAGTGCTATATAAGTATAAGCAATTATTATTATTATTATTATTATTATTATTATTATTAGAAGAATACCCCAGGTTTCATCTCCTCACTGAATAAAAACTAATAACACGGAAATGAAGTGGTCTGAATACTGCGTTCAGAACTTCCTATTGCTGCATGGAATCTTTATTATACACAGTGATTGTGTTAGTTAAACACCCACAGTAAAAATACATTAATATATTTTTGTTTTTAATAAGGATCTTCAGCTGAAGAGGAAATAATTTAGAGAAGTGTACTGCACTTCTGAACTGTTAACATTTCTTACTGAATATTTATCTGCACAGGTGTTAATTACAACATTGGCTTCTAATGCTTCATCGAAGGTGCTTAATGCCACCAATTAAACATATCAACACTGTCTCTCACTTATGTTCTGCAGAGAATTGTCTAATTCTTGTGCAGTTCCAAAGAGTTCAGCTCTGCAAACAGATGCACATGTGTAGTCAATAATCTAGGATACTGATTTTTCATGAAACTATGCTATTTGATGATTCTGCATGCAGTCATGCAAACAAAAGCTTGTCTGTCACAAGAACCACACAGGTCAGATTTTTTCTCACCCTTTTCACCATAAACACCAAAAACAAAATCAGTTACCCATGATTTTTAGTCCTCACTATGTTTCTGCGTAGTTCAAGGAACATTTCACCTCCTAATTGCACCACAAGTGTACTAAAGGCTTCACTGTTTCACACTTTGTTACAGTCATCAGGTAATCCTATGTACATAAAATATCTAAAAACAGGTGATATACAATCCCAAAATACAGAAAGGTATGTAAGCCGTTGCTTAAATCTCAGCCCATTTTCAGTGATGATCTTCCTAAACTCTGATGTTTCCAGCTTCTAAGGTCCACTGTATTGTTTTCTGACCTTATTTATCCAAACCAGTGAAGGTGTTTCAGATGGTAATGCAGCCAGGCCTCTAGCATGTAAAACAGGATCTAGAAGTGTGCCCTAATTACCTATCCTGAATCACTGCACTGCGTACTGTTAAAATGGGCCTTGGGAGGTTATTAGTGCTATTAAGAAAATGCCAGCATCCTAGGATTAGGCCTTCACATGTTGTTAACCTTGGACAACCACTGGTTTAATCTGCTTTGGGTTTCACATGCTTTCTAGACAAACTGTCCATGTCTGGTTATGCACCCTATGTCATTTTCAGCTACTCTGTAGAAGTTGGTGGCTTTTTTATTTATCCAAAAACACATTCTTGAAGGTCCATTTGCCCATTAGAGAAAGCCACTTATTCCTGGCGAGGGTCATAGTTGTTCTGTCCGAGAAGTATTGGGCACAAGGCAGGACTACACCCTGTACTGGACAGCAGTCAATAGTAGGGTGTATATGCAGGGACAATTTAGAGACACTGATCAACCTAGTCAGCCTGACCCTGGAAGATGGGAGAAAACTGGAACACCCAGCAAAAGCCCACATGACAACAGTGAGAGCATACAGACACCACACTGAAGTGCAGATTCAAACACAGGAGTCGAGAGCTGTGAGGTTACAGTGCTAACCATGACTTCGCTGTGCCACTCTTATTCAAGTTCAGTCTTCAATATTATTAATCTACTGGGGTCACAGGCAGCATGTGTGATAGCTGTTACAAATATAATCTTATACAGACAGGATATATTTACAGTAACAAATCTGCTAGAATTAAAAACTAAACTTGGCTAATTGGTCTGGAGGCATTTGCTTATACAAGAGCGGGATATTGTTATTAAGATAGTTAAAAGGACTAAAAAATCCACATAGTGCTCTGCATTCAGTTGAATCCAAATGTAGAAAGTCAATGCCACACTTGAAAATGTTTCACTGCAACACACTACAATCCTTTTCTAATTACAACAGTGCAGAAAAGAGACAACTGCTCTTGAAATAAAATGAAGCCAAAAGATTCCAGGAACCTCCCTGGACTTGAAAATAGCCTGCATGTGAACAACAAAGACCTGTGTATATGCAACTCCTAACAAAGAAAAACTTGAAATTATTTAAGTGAGATTTTTAAATACCAGAAAGGGTCTGGCTCGGTTACTCACAGACCAGGACTAAAGAAGTGCAGACATTGAACATACTACCACACCATTCATCTATCACAAGATAGCAAACAGTTAAAAAAATAAAGTGTTTACGTCTCTCCTTTTGCAAAGGGCATTTTAACACCTTTTTAAACAACAAATACTGCAAGTGGTACAGAGCAATAATCAAAAGTACTCAACTGCTCCAGACGAAACCTTTCAGTGTCTGGTTTTTAAATCGACTTTTCTGGGACCCTGCTGGCATGATAAATATTGTAAACAAAATGTTTTTGTTTGACTGCAAGGCTTCTTTGTACCATAAAGTCCGAGTGTTGCCGAAGAACTAAAAAAAAGGACAAGATACTTCCACCGAGTTTCACATCAAACACTCCCCTGAAGAGCCTGGCATTACGCCACCAGCCCTTGTGCAGCCGTTTCAGTTTCCTCATCTTCATTCAGATTAGCCCCCGGGGAGGGGAAAGGAGAGCGTGTTGTACAGCAGACAGATTATGGAATCACTAGAGTGTACGACAAAGGCCCTTCCACAAGACGACAGTCTCCATTCATCAAGTAACGGACAGATGGCTTTATCCACCAAAACACCATTCCAGCTGTAGTGCAATGTACAAACACCAATTAAATAATTATAATAACACTGACAATAATTATTATTTCCATTTCACATTTATCATACAGTCTCTCAGACAAGGTTTTGCTGTTTGTCCAGTACCAAGGATAACACAGTGAACAGAGTTAGCCTGTGAGAACTGTCAATGAACACAAGTTTTCAGCATGCTGCAAACTTATTAATAAAACTCCTTTGTAAGATGGGTTTGTTAGAATTAAATGCTTTAATTGTGGACATAGTGATAACGACAATTCTGCAGATGGGCTTAATGTAAAAGATGTTATGTTTCTCAAAAATGTTTTAGTTTTCTAGCTATTTGTATTTTTATTTTAAATATATTTATCACGTCAAAGCAGTCCCCAAAAAATTCTGTACAATTCTGACTCATTTTCTCTTATCCAATTGTTCCAGGTCATTTATCAGACACAATTCAGCTTCCGCAGTGCTATTGCTCCCCAGATCCTGCTCGTCATTAACATGCTTACAACAGAATATCACATTGCTTTTGCAGGAAATAAAATATTGGGGTTTAATAATAAAGTAACAGCAGCTTACACTCAATGTTGCATACCTATACAATTTTGCACATATCTGCACATTAAAATTTGAAATATAATATGCAAAGCACACTGTAGAGCATTAAATCTTCTCTATTTATATCTGTAATCACAACAATGCATAAGAATATAATTCTGGGAAAAGCAAGAGGTGATTAATACAGACATGAGTGTAATAAAAATTGTTGCGTTTTTCTTAAACAACACGCTCCACCATGTGCCTTACTGTTACACCTGCTTAGAGTTGCATTTCTTCTTTCACAATAGCCCTCGAAAGTCAAACACAGGTGGAGCAAAAACTTTTAACATAACTTAATATACAGATTCTGTGTAACATACAGCATTGGACAAATCTGGTTGGCTTTTTTTTCTTTAATAGTGATTTGTTCATGAGTAACGGATCTGCTTCAATTCTGTATATTGCTGCGCACTTCATGCTCTGCACTTCATAGCACTATCAAAGTGAAATTTACACGATTAATGTTTCCATATTCTTTCAGAAAGATATTTCAAGGTGCCTATTCCAGTATTTCTCCATGCAAATACTCCTCAAATCAAGAGGCAGGGAAAACTACTACATTCCTTAAAAGTACTGCCATGCAAACACTTCTTTTTCTGATACCAAAATTTGCAAATTTCTGCACATGCTCCTTACCCCGGTATAACTGGTGCAGCCTTAGATGAGGCTCATCCTGTCCTAATTGTTTCAGTCTGATCTTTACATTGAAGTGCATTCCCAGGAATGAATGTGGCAACAAGTAATCTATCATTAATTGCCACAATATCTGAACTCATCTTTTTCAAGGCTAATGTACACTACGACCAGTGTTGACCTGTTTTATTTTTATCTTGTATCTGACATCAGTCTGCCTATGGAACACTTTGGGTCATGAACATCTCAGGACATGCACATTAAAAACTGACAAATGTGTGAAGTAATTAAGGTTATGTGTAAGCATAAGTACCACATTAAACTCATTACAAAGATACATGCATGGCTTTAATATATGTAAACAATGAATCACTGTGATTCAGCAATATGTTTGCTATGAACCATCGTGAAGCAGGGGTGGAAAAAGACTGAAATTATTAACCCTTGTGAATTACTTATGAACCACTTACGTGACATACATTTTTATGGTTCTTTGAACACTCCATAACTTTCTCCAACCGCGATTTTCAGAATAAAGTTCTATTCACAGATGCAGTGTTATGAATGTGTCTACTGACTACATTAAAACCTCTTCTCTGCATGACAAACTACTAAGGTCAACATTACATACATCAAAAAAATATTTTCTTCTCTTAAAACATGTCGGTAGTATATTCTCCTAATTGTGGAATTAATTCATTCCAATGGTGTTCTTTTGACATGACAGGACAAAC